GTGCCGGCCCGCGGGCCCGGGCCCCCCGGGAAGCTGCCTCCCTCCAACCTCACTCCTCAAGCCTCCTCCGGGCTGACCCCTCAGGTTGCCTATCCGCACGCCCGGGGATCGGGGATCGTAAGAACCCCCACTCCCCTCCCTCGGAATGCGGGGCGCCACTGAGCTGGGCCAGAGGCTGCCTGAGTTCTGTCCCCCGCCTCCCACTCTTGGACGCTTATGGCAAGTTTCCTGCCTGTCCTAGTGTCCCCAGAAGTTTCCGGGGACTTCGGGAAGCTCCAGCAATCTGGGAGATGGGTCCCCTGACCCCTGCAGATACTGGCACACCGGTTGCTGGGATGTGTCCCGGCGTGCCCCCGCCTAGGTCCCCATCCCACTCGCCGCCCGTCTCTGGTCTCTCCCACCACAGCCCCGCCCCAGTCCCACCCCCGGCCCCGCCCCTTCCCCGCCTGCACTCTGACCTGACCCCTGCATTCACCTTCTCTCTCCCACAGGCTCCTTATGGGCAGAGGAGTCCAGGCAGCCTTGAAGCCCCGAGTGTGCTGTGCGCGCCCTGGGCCAAAATCAGGATTCTGTCCTTGCTCAGTGGGACTTTGGTGACCCGACCTTGCTGAGTGGTGTGTCTCCTGCCTAGTCCAGCAGAAGCCCGGGGCAGCTGGCACCATGGCCTTCTCCCAGGTGCAGTGTCTGGACGACAGCCATGTCAACTGGCGCTCCAGCGAGTCCAAGCCTGAGTTCTTCTACAGCGAGGAGCAGCGGCTGGCCCTGGAGGCCCTGGTGGCCGACGGCCCTGATGCCTTCTATGAGGTGCTGAAGCGGGAGAACATCCGAGATTTCCTCTCAGAGCTGGAGCTCACGCGCATCCAGGAGACCATCGAGGTGTACGATCCTGGCTCTGAGGACCCCAGGGGCACGGGCCGCCCTCAAGGGCCCGAGGAGGATGGTGTTGGTGACAGCGAGGAGAACAGTAGGCCGGGTGGGGCGGAGGCCCCCACCGAGGCCGAGCCGCCACCCTCACTGGAGTATTGGCCCCAAAAGTCAGACCGCTCCATCCCACAGCTGGACCTGGGCTGGCCCGACACCATCGCCTACCGAGGCGTGACCCGGGCCAGTGTCTACATGCAGCCCCCAATTGATGGGCAGGCCCACATCAAAGAGGTGGTCCGCAAGATGATCAGCCAGGCCCAAAAGGTGAGCCAGCCACTGAGCGGGAGTCCCTGGAGAGGAGACTGGCCCAGGGGGTCAGACTGGCCCCACCAGAGCTCCCCACCTCAATGCATGCTCACACGGTCCAGCAGCCAACACAGAGATGCCAAACGGTCCCTGATGGGTCTCTTGACTGCCTCTTCTGCTGTCTTCATGGGGTTTCTTTGCAGAAGGATAGGGTGCCTGGATTCTCTGGCAGGTGATGGTGGGCTGCACCATTTCAAGGGCCTGTGACCTGGTGAGCAATTTCCCCCAGAAGAAGGTGCCACAGCGGGGTAGGGCAGGAACAGTTTTGGACTCTTCTCCCTCCCTGTCCCTCTGGATGACTGTGTTAATTCTGGGAAGCAGGAAGCATGCAAATGCTCTGGTGTTGTCTTTGTTGGGGGGGGGAGTAGGCATGGAGACAGAAGTAGCTTGGGTCCATCTGAGGCTGGCCTAGAGGCAAAAGTGTGCCTGTTGTTGACGTTACTGGGTGACTGAGAACAAGTGTCTTGCCCTCTCTGAGCCTCTTCTTGAGCTTTGCAGTGACCGAACCTCTCCAGGCTGGAATGTGGAGTTGGGTGTCGTACGTTCTTCAGGGGTGGGACACTGCATGAATCCAGCTGAACATTGTCCTGGTTGATTTCCACAGGAAGGGTTCTCTGGCATGGTCTGGACCGCCCCTTCATGACCCTTGTCAAATTTTGCAGTGTTCTTGGTCTGGGCAGACAGCCTCAGCTTATACACTGATACACTTTCTAAGAAGGAGTGCTCACCACCTTCTGAGGAGCCAGGCTATTGCTAGATAGCCACGAACATGGGGAGGGGCTTCTCTCCCAAGTGGAAGTGCCTTTTTGTGGTTTCAAAGCCTATCCCGACATGACTGATAAAGCCTGCCTAGCAAGCTGCGTTGAGAAGGATTCTGAAGTCAGGTCTAGGTTCAGCAGAGAGTAGCGAGTGATTAGTGATGTCTGTGCTGGCTGTGGGTCATGGGCCAGGTATTTCTAGCGGAGTCTAACTCCTTCACTGTACTGGGCCCAGAGTGGGGCACAAATCATACAAGACCAGAAGGCTGACTTTGAAGACCATCCTGGCTGACATCTAGGGCCCGGGGAGCATTGGGGCACAGAACTAAAAGTGGGTCAGTAGCTGAGAAGGTGGCCACAGCTTAGGTTTCTATACAGGTGGAGTCCCTATGGCCCCAAGGGGGCTGGCCAAGTTAGACTGTGTCAGGGAGCTTGGCTTTCAGCCTGATCCCAGGCAGCTTTGGGGCTTCGGGTTTCTAATCTGAAAAATGGAGGTGCTGAGGATAAAAGGCTGAGTCTTTGGCTATTATGAAGATGGAATCGGGTGATCTGAGTGAGGAAGAGTTGGAGGAAGAGGAGGGGATGTGAGAGGAGAGGGCCCCATAGTTTTCAAGCTGAATAACCTGCCCCATACCTGCCATGGGGTATGTGCAGCTGGCGTGGGTACCTGCCTTGAGGTCACAGAACCCAGTCTTCTGGGAGGCCTTTTGGGTCCCCATTACCCAGTTTCCACTCCTTTTTTAAAAATGGGGAAACTGAGACCCTGGTGGTGCCAGGGTTCCCCGCTCCTCTGTGCCTTTCCTTCCTACCAGGAGGAGGAATGTGGCAGGCACCAGATCCCCGCTTGGCATGAGAACAGCCAGAGTCTAATCTCCCCCAGACAGAAAGACAGCCAGCCTGGCCCAGTGATGGGGCCAGATAGGGACGCCTGGGGCCAGGTTAGGCACTCAGGGCATCCTGCCCACATCTCTATGGCCAGGGCTGAGACCCAGCCACGGCTTACAGTCCCACGCACCCACTCCCAACTTCATTTGCTTCCCGCCAACGCTCCCGAAAGTTATTGGTGTCACCGGTGGCCAGGAAGAAGTCAGGTCTGAACCCACAGTCTGTGTGACACCACACTTGCTGCCCTGCTGCAGCACTGGCAGGTAGGCCGCACCTTCCTCCCTCTCGGCGTGGGGCTTGCCGAGACTGCCGCCCACTCTCAGACAGCAAGGAGCCTGGCAGGCGCAACAGGGGCAGTCTCAGAGGTGACAGAGGCCAAGCCTCGTCTCTCACACAGGGGTGGTGAGCGGGGAGAAGCACAGGGATTGTTCGCGCCCACAGCGCCGCGTTAGCAGCTCCGGCTTTCCAGCCAGCCTGCTTCCCTGTCGCATCCTCCTCGGACTTACAGCCAACGTGGTGTGCGCGTAGGCTGACTGTAATGACAATAGCTAGTGTTTATTGAGTGTGAGGCACTTTATAATCTCAGTTATCTGCCCCCTTTTTTAGATGTAGAAACTGAGGCCCGACTGGTTAGTCCCTGCCAAGGTTACCTGGCTACTTCTGGGCTGGAGGGGTGGAGCCCAGTCTGTGCCGTGCTCAGACTCTAAGACAGGTCCCCTGCCCATCCTTCACGGGCCCTGGCAGGATCCAGCGACAGGCAGGGCAGGGAGGGGCAGATCCTCCAAGCTGCCTGCAATCCTCCTCTCTCCTCTGCTCAGACGGTTTCCCAGGCTTGCAGGGGCCCGGCCTTGATGCTGACAGAGGATGCTGACGGAGCATTTTGCCTGACCCGCCCAGCGGATCTCCCTCCACCTTATCTCTCCCCACGAATCACTTTCTTTCCCCTCATACCTGCACCCTCCTCTCACCCCCATCCCCAACCCAGTGCAGGAACAACAGCTCCTCACCCAGGCCTGGGATGGGGACACCATGGTCCAGCTGCTTGGCCCAAACCATGGCACCAGGGCTGGGGCTGCTGGAGCTGAGTCAGGATGGCCCAGGCCTCCTCCTCAACTGGAATGTCGTCAGCAGGCAGGCAGACCCTGGGGCAGGGAAATGACACAGCACACACTCAGCCTGCCCCCAGCTCAGCTGCTGGGAGTGGCTATGTTCCCGTCAGAACTACCCTCAGCTCCCCACCCCTTCCCAAAAGACTGAAATAGAGCTAATGGGTCACAGTACTAGGAGCCAAGAATGTGGGGTCCCTACTCTGCTTGTTCCTGCTGTGTGACTTGAAAGGAACCTCAGCTCCCCTCCAAGCCTCAGTCATCCCATCTGTAAAATGGGGACAGACATGGAGGCCTGTTACGGGTGCCTTCAGCTCTGACACCCTGCTCCCCTATGATTCTGAACTCTCTGCGACAAGAGATAGTGAGTCCTGGGTCTGACTCCACCGGGCTGCAGCTCCCCAAGAAGGGTGCTTGTCCCACCCCTAGCCCCCCCACCCCCTCCCTGGAGCCTGTGATTTATCTGGGGAAAAACCTGCTGTGGGATTCCAACTGCATACCAGAGGCCGGGCCTGTAGCATCACGCCTGGGAGGGATGAGCCTCGGCCTTGGTCTGCTGCAGCCTCTGAGAGAAAGGGGTGAGGCTGGGCGGGGTGCGGAGGGCTTGGGGAGGGCGTGGACTCATCCACACGCACGCACACGCGCGCTGCAGAGGGGGCCCTAGCAGGATCTCCTCGCCAGCCCTGACAGCCAGGGAGCCCCCAGCACAGGAAGAGATCTTGGACGGGAGAGGAAGCTGAGGGAGAATGGCCGAGGCTTGACTAGAACTCAGCTTGCACGCCAGCCCAGCCAGCGCTGGGGATGGAGAAGACCCAGAGGCAGTAAGTTTCTTGCCTAGGGCCACACAGCAGAAAGGGACCGTAACCAGTTTTCACGACGGCCGATTAACCCCACGTCTTTTCTGCCAGGCGCCCGCCTTCACATGCTGAAGTCTTGGCCCACGGCTTGGCTGCAGGAGAATAAAAGCAGCTTAATGAGGCATTTATTAAATGCCAACTATATGCCAGGTGCTGAGCGGGCACTTTACCTAAACTGTAATCCTCCCAGTTGGGATCCTTCATAAAGTAGGTGTTGTCCCACAATGTAGATGAGGAAAGTGAGACTTGATGGGGACCAGAGAGGCTGAAAAACTTGCTCAAGGTCACAGAGCTGGTAGGCGGAAGAGCTGGGCCCCGCATTCAGGCCTGCAGTCTCTGTGCCTCCTCTCTGGACAACCGTCTTGTCTATTCTTTTGGAGTCTCCACCTTTGGGGAGCACTGGAACTTCAATACCAGCCCCAGGTTGACTCAGGACAGTAAAAACATTTTCATAATGCTCCACATCCCTGTCAGACTCCCGAGTCTGACCGCACTAGCCCTAGTAAGAACAGGGGAGCCGAGGTCACCGTGGGCCAGGCCCTGCAGCCCGGGACGTGACTGTTGTCTCTGAGTTGGCGACCCCAGAGCAGCCCCGGGAGGCTCCAGGGGTGGCCCAGTCAGCTCTTCCAGGGACATGCTAGAGCCCAGAGTGGGCAGCAGCTGGCCCAGACGCCCACAGTGGGTTCGGGGAGTTGCCTTCTGCCTGCTCTAGCAACTCCCAGCCCAGTGCCCAGGGCCCTCACCTGCCAGGTGGGGAACCATCTGATAACATAATCCAAGGTGTTGGCTCTCGTCTTCTCCAAAGGCTTCTAACCCAACGGCATGTGCATCTTAATTGAGAGTTTGAGAGTCTGCAGCAGCTCTGGGCGTTTTCGTCTTAATTGAGAGTTTGGAGTGTCAACTTGGGAGCTGCCTGCCAGGAGGGAGGGCCAGCACCTCTGGGCCAGGTGCATGTCCGCCTCCTGGAGCATACGGCAGGAAGCCTCACACCAGCCAGTGCTGCCTGCCCTCCCACCGACCAAGGAGGCAGGCCTGGCATCATATGATGCCACAGATGGGGATCCCAGGGTGCTAGGGCCAGGGTGGGCCCCGCCTGCTGACTGCCACCCGGGAGTCTCTGGTGTAGCAAGCCTGTCCTGGCTCCACAGAGTCACAGTCTCCCTGCTTTGGCAAGTTCACCTGAGCCCCAGGACAGCCCCTTGAACTAGCAGAGGAGGACTGGGCCTCTCCAAGCCCCCTGCATCACCTGTCCAGCTCTGCAACCCTCTTGCTGCATGACCTTGGGCCTCAGCTTCTTCAGCTGTAAAATGGGATTTGTGCACTTGTCTTGCAGTGGCCACTAGCAGTTCTCA